TAATGCACTCCTGTATTTGTTACTATGAATAATACACTTCTATATTTGTTACTATGAATAATGCACTCCTATATTTGTTACTATGTATAATGCACCCCTATATTTGTTACTATGAATAATGCACTTCTGTATTTGTTACTATAAATAATGCACTCCTGTATTTGTTACTATGAATAATACACTTCTATATTTGTTACTATGAATAATGCACTCCTATATTTGTTACTATGTATAATGCACCCCTATATTTGTTACTATGAATAATGCACTTCTGTATTTGTTACTATAAATAATGCACTCCTGTATTTGTTACTATGAATAATACACTTCTATATTTGTTACTATGAATAATGCACTCCTATATTTGTTACTATGTATAATGCACCCCTATATTTGTTACTATGAATAATGCACTCCTGTATTTATTACTATGAATAATGCACTCCTATATTTGTTATTATGTATAATGCACTCCTATATTTGTTACTATGAATAATGCACTCCTATATTTGTTACTATGTATAATGCACCCCTATATTTGTTACTATGAATAATGCACTCCTGTATTTATTACTATGAATAATGCACTCCTATATTTGTTATTATGTATAATGCACTCCTATATTTGTTACTATGGATAATGCACTCATATATTTGTTACTTTGAATACTGGACTCCTGTATTTGTTACTTTGAATAATGGACTCCTGTATTTATTACTTTGAATAATGCACTCCTATATTTGTTGCTATAAATAATGCACTCCTATATTTGTTACTTTGAATAATGCACTCCTGTATTTATTACTATGAATAATGCACTTTTATATTTGTTAATATGTATAATGCACTCCTATATTTGTTACTATGAATAATGCACTTCTATATTTGTTACTATGAATAATGCACTCATATATTAGTTACTTTGAATAATGGACTCATATATTTGTTACTTTGAATAATGGACTCCTGTATTTGTTACTTTGAATAATGGACTCCTGTATTTGTTACTTTGAATAATGGACTCCTGTATTTATTTGAATAATGCACTCCTATATTTGTTTAATACTATAAATAATGCACTCCTATATTTGTTTAACACTATAAATAATGCACTCCTATATTTGTTACTATGAATAATGCACTCCTATATTTGTTTAATACTATAAATAATGCACTCCTATATCTGTTACTTTGAATAATGCACTCCTATATTTGTTACTATGAATAATACACTTCTATATTTGTTACTATGAATAATGCACTCCTATATTTGTTACTATGTATAATGCACTCCTATATTTGTTACTATGAATAATGCACTCCTGTATTTGTTACTTTGAATAATGGACTCCTGTATATATTACTATGAATAATGCACTCCTATATTTGTTATTTTGAATAATGGACTCCTGTATTTATTACTATGTATAATGCACTCCTATATTTGTTACTATGAATAATGCACTTCTATATTTGCTACTATGTATAATGCCCTTCTATATTTGCTACTATGAATAATGCCCTTCTATATTTGTTACTATGAATATTGCACTCATATATTTGTTATTATGTATAATGCACTCCTATATTTGTTACTATGTATAATGCACTCCTATATTTGTTACTATGAATAATACACTCCTATATTTTTTATTATGAATAATGCACTCCTATATTTGTTACTATGAATAATGGACGCCTGTATTTGTTACTTTGAATAATGCACTCCTATATTTGTTACTATGAATAATGGACTCCTATATTTGTTGCTATAAATAATGCACTCCTATATTTGTTACTATGAATAATGCACTCCTATATTTGGTACTATGTATAATGGACTCATATGTTTGTTACTTTGAATAATGGACTCCTGTATTTGTTACTTTGAATAATGCACTCCTGTATTTGTTCCTATGAATAATGGACTCCTGTATTTATTACTATGAATAATGCACTTTTATATTTGTTAATAATATGTATAATGCACTCCTATATTTGTTACTATGTATAATGCATTCCTATATTTGTTACTATGTATAATGTACTCCTATATTTGTTACTATAAATAATGCACTCCTATATTTGTTACTTTGAATAATGGACTCCTGTATTTATTACTATGAATAATGCACTCCTATATTTGTTATTATGAATAATGCACTCATATATTTGTTACTATGAATAATGCACTCATACATTTGTTACTCTGAATAATGCACTCCTATATTTGTTACTATGAATAATGCACATATATTTGTTACTATGAATAATGCACTCATATATTTGTTACTCTGAATAATGCACTCATATATTTGTTACTCTGAATAATGCACTCATATATTTGTTACTCTGAATAATGCACTCATATATTTGTTACTCTGAATAATGCACTCATATATTTGTTACTCTGAATAATGCACTCATATATTTGTTACTCTGAATAATGCACTCATATATTTGTTACTATGAATAATGCACTCATATATTTGTTACTATGAATAATGCACAAAAAATTAATTCCAAGTAAAAATAAATTACTTTACAGTAATATAGCATAGAATAGTCCTAAGTAGCAAACGTACTACTTGCATCATTTCAAACACAATTAGAACCAAAAATATTTGGTGCAAAAGAATTAATTTCTACATTTGTACATTTCTTTTTATGAGGAAACAATTTTAGGCGTTTCTGCAGGCCGCAGACAATAATCATTCAAGAATATTAATGACACAAAGTATATGTCACTATGGTTACATTACTTTTATTAAAATACAAATGTATATTATTTTATCTCTAAAGTCTTCTATCATGTTTTGTTTTTCTTTTCTCTTTTTTCTTTGAATTACAATGTTTCAAAGTGGATGATAAGTTTAAAGGTCGGGCAGGTTGGCAATTAATGAATACTCCTTGCGAGTCCCTACAAGTGAGAGTACATGCATCTTCAATAAAGGTTTGTACAAAAATAGAGGCCTAGTAGCGGGTATTTTAAAACAGAACTATCTATATTGCACAGTGACATCAAACTATGCTTTTTGATGTTTAGGATTGAATAATAAATATTATTATGACAATATGAAATCTCATTTATAGTGTTTAATAAATAAAAAAAAATGATCAGTATATTCAATCGCTTATTTATAAATTATTTGAAATCAATGCTTACTATATGTTTTTAAGAAGCATTTAAAAAAAATAGTATCAAGTATTGTAAGGATGCAATATAACAGTGTATATGATATACAATTTGTTGGTCATAATGTTTACATGTCTTTTGATGGAGGCATTCTTCATAATTATTTAAAGAGACAATGTCTTGTGGCCGGCAACTAGATTGCCTATTAATGTCTATGTTATGTGTTATTTTGTTGTAATTGTTTTTCAGTGAAATTTAAATCCATAAAGTTAATTTGTTTAACATTTTATCTGGGAGATGTACGTTACCTGCATGTCCAAGACCAATGCTGCCAAGACAAATATCACATCCAGGATCACAAGAACAACGATCGCTACTTGGCAATAGTGGTGATTCATAACAGCCAGACATGTGCCTCGAAAACCATTAAATTCTTTTTTTGTTGCTTCATCCTGTGAGTCGGACGCAAGACTATCACTTGTGTCGTCTTTAGTGATGACACGCAGCTGGCCATCTTGTTTGCTTTCTTGCATTCTTTTAAATCCAAATCCATCCATTTTGTGGTAGTGATGGTGATAGCTGAAACAATCACACGAGTTTCTAATGTAAGGAACATGAATCTTGCTAAAATTCCACATCTTAGCAGCCGATGAGAGTCACCAGACTCGCAGCTTATTATATTGTTGTTGATAAAACGTGAACACGGTCGTGAAACAGGGCTAAGAAATAGAACTTCCGTTGGGAGTATTATCCTCGTCAGATGAAACAATGCATTTTTCCATCGGCTACGTTTGCCGCTATGCTCATTGACTAACACAGAGGTCACAGCGCTCTATAACACTCTACCGTAATACGAGATACAGCGGGCTAACAAAGCATCATATCACGTGTTCAGTCACATGACACGCAATGTTGGAAATTAGCATTTCTTTGTCGTCGAGGCGAAAGTGTAGAGATTCGAATCTGATTTACAAATATTATTAATGCAAAATCCTTTCTAATAACTCATATTAGTAAACGGTTATTTTTTTTTCGAAATAAAATGCATGTTTTTTGGAAATGTTTCGAGTATAGAATTATAATATATGATCAACCGATCAGCTGCGCCACGATCCGCCCCCCAATATTTATTACCCAATGTTTACGTTATAGACCGAGTGTACTTGCATTGCTTTCTATGTCGGTAGTGCGTTTAAACAACTTAAACAATACTTACTCGCTTTCCAGAGAGTTTATTGGATTGTCAACGCCCCCCACTACGTTTGCGGAGACCTAAAAACGCAAAAAAACACAGGAAAGTTTTAACTTCCAACTTTTATGTCTGTACTGTTTATTTTTTCTTGCCACGGTCTTGATTTATGGTTAAAAAATGACCTTTGGGCAGAACAGCGACCTCTCAAGGCGGAAAAAGCACACAGTGAACACCAAAAACGGCGATTCACAGTAAACTCATTTAAAACCAATATTTACTATTAAACATAAATTAATTTTGTGTATACACAACTTTTTCTTTCATTACAAAGCTGAGAATCATTTTTTTTTTCAATTACGATGAGTTATTTCGAAAGTAAAACACGTATCAGCCTCGAGAGGACGCACTTCGTTGTAAAAATGGCGGACGAAGAGAAAGAAGACAAGAACACTAAGCTGAAAGCGGAAAAGAAGAATGTATACATTCCGAGAAATGCTTCAGACGAACAGCGATTAAAACTAGAAAAACTGATGAACAATCCTGTGAGTGTAGTGATTCTGATATATTTTATTGATACTGATTGAGCTGTACGAATGTGAATGTTAGTTTAATAATACGTCATGTTTTCCTGCATCAGCCGTGTGAATGTGAATGCTTATATAGACACATTTTCAAATGACACTTTCAAATTTCATACTGACTCCCCCCATTTTACAACGATCTATTTTTATTTTGAGGAACCCAGCTCACTAAAAAAAAGCACCAGTCTTTTTTTGTTGAAATATGGCAATACATTAACCCCGACATTAACCAAAATAAACTTGATAATAATACGTTATTTTTACTTTTACAGCAAGTCTCAGAAGTATTGGGGCAGCCTATTTGCAAACTTGGTAGCGAATTGGCTAACTGCTTGTGTTTTGGGTTTCAAATCTCGCTGGCACCGACATCCACTCTGGGCGAGTCTATATTGCATTAGGGGACATAGAATGTTTTTACGTAGCCTGGTACATTTATGGATTCCCCTGAACGAATTTGCTTTGTTACGTGAGGCATGATAATGTATTAGTAGTTTCCATGTTCAGCCTGAGAATGACCTCAGTCAGCTGGCAATATATGATAAATACGATTAACCCACCGATATTTACTATATGGGGGTAATCACCTTGAACACTGCTTGAAACTTAATAAATTCGTCAGTTTTGCATTGTATATGAACACCTCATTACATATGAAGAACATAGAACACTTTTCCTGATATATTTGAAAGCAAAATAGATATCCAACTCTAAGACCGACGCTGATTAGCTACTAAAGTATGACAACCGTCCCCTCCTGTTATATAGATTCACCCAGAATGGGTATGACAAGAGGGCGCCAGTAAAATTCAAAAGCCAATCGTTTAGTCAAAACTGAAGCGTTAGCCAATTCGCTAGCGAGTTTGCAAATTGGCTGCCCCAATACTTCTGAGATTTGCTGTAAAATATATGTAATACAGGTTTCTGTACTTATAGAATTGTCATCTCCTTTCCACCTCTACACACACAGCTTTCACGTTCTTACCGTAGAGGAACACCTAGAAGCAATTGAGGGGGGTAACAGATCAAAGCATATATAAAAATATATACTGTTATAACAAGATGGGCAACTTTCGCGGTCAGTAATATTTCCGAAAATATTATTATATCACAGCATTTCGGCTATTTTTTTTAACAAATCCAAAATCACTCTTGATAACTTTGTTTACATTGCATGTGTACTGTAATTGCATTTGAAGTTTTGATAATTTTAATGGTTGTAAATGTTTTAATACATACATGTACACTCACAAAAATACTATTATATTTATTATATAACCTTTATTTGTCCTTGTCGATCTGTGTAACTTCATGTGGAAATCCTAATAAATGTGAATCATGTTCACTGATTTGACTACCGGTACACAGTGTAGTGTCTTCGGCAATTATTTTTTGTTTCGTCGATTTGTGTTGTCAGTAATTTGTTTTGTTTTCTCAGACTTTTCTACAAAAATTAACAGTGGTTACCGGTAAATAGGTACATTATTCCCACTTTGTAGTATATTGTAGCCAGTACTTTTATAAGTTGTTCTTTAGCATAAATATCGGATTGTTTGGAAGTATGATATTGCAATGTGAATTCCGTGAATTCTGCTGTAATGATAATGTAATTCTGCTGTATCTTTGGGCCTACTTGTCATTCAGAGACCTATCATGACCAAGTCCCAGCCCGTTTATGTACCTACTGTCAGTGTCCGTCAGGTATATACAAAATGCGACCAAGAAAACTTCAGAATAGTAAAAAGCGAAAGCTAAAGTCAGTTGCCTATGCCAAGAGCCATAAAACCAAAAATATCTGTCAGTCACCGCCGTCCACAACAGTGATATGATTTTACACATATAACTTCAGAATCGCAAACGACCAGCAATCGAATCATCAATTTTTATGAGTGATGTAACTGGCTATTCCCACTCTCCTCAAAAAGTGAATGTTGTTGAATTTATGAGTGTACTTATTTTTGTACAGTGTCGTAACCATAGCTACAATCAAAGACCTGCTGAACAGGAAGTCTATTCTGGGCAAATACCATTGTTAAACTTTGTAGAGTACAGGACTATTTATACAGGAGATGTTCCAGTAGGGAATTTTTAAAATTGTTCGATTTGCATATCAAAATCCTTTATTGGAAGAGAACATATATAAGGGCTGACTGGGTTATGATTCTCTAAACAGTCTTGAACTTCAGGACTAAAAATAGTACAATACTGTGGGTTCATTCAAAGTTGGCCATTAGTACACTGAGGTGGTTCTACAGAACAGTGACAGAAAAAATATGTATACACAAAAGAAATTTCACGCAAAGAACATTTCTCGCACAAACATCTGAAAATAAAAGTCTAGCTCAAACCTAAGTGAAGAAAAAAAAATTGCACTGTAAAAATCTCCTCTCCAAGAATTACTTTGTTATATACTCTATTTGCTCCATTAGAAGTGAATCTTTAGTAGGAATGCATGGAACCGAATAATTGCATAATCGATCATTATTAGTCCGGAATCCAGTAATTCAGAATGCCCTTCACAGTGCACTCAAGGTTTAAGATGAATCGCTTTGTAAATACAAAGACGTAAATACAAAGATGGCACAGAATTTGATGTCATTACTGATTGGTTGTCTCCATGACTTCTGTACATTACCATGGGAACTTGCATGCGCAGACTGACCCATATGTAAGGCCCACCACAGCCCTCCAGACTAATTCACTAGTCTATTATTCATTAATTAGTCTCATGATAAAAGACGGCATCTAGTCTAGATCATTATAATAGGGACTTTGACCGTAGAAATACCTCTGTCATTCATGTAAGCATATGCACTACTAATAGAACAAATATAGTTAAACACAAATTCAAATGCAAAGCACACAAAATTTTCTATTTTTGATGTATTTTTCAAATGCCCTTTTCTTTAAGTCTTTTTTGTTTTTTGTTTGTTTGTTTGGAAAATGAAATAATATCCTTTTTTTCAGTTTATTTATTTACTGGTAGTTTTTTTCTAAGTTTGGTAATTGTGAGAAAATAAAAATAAAAAAAGAATAAACTAAAATATATATAATAATTACTAGTATATACATATTTAAAAAAATAGGAATTCTATTTTTATCAGATTAAACCAGGAATATATCACTCTAAAAATAGTTAGGAAAATGCTAAAAATATGAATGACAAATTAAATTTGTTTATGAAATATCAATTTTAAAATAACCATAAACATTAAAAAATCAGTGATTGTGCAGTGGGAAAATGCCCCACACTTTTCGTGGTGTGCACAGTGACCAGAAAAACTTGCTTCAGTTGTAGTAATCTGGTTATTAGTCCCCGTTCGGACAAAGTCCGAAAACAGAATTATAATTCTCCGTCCGTGTGTCTGTTCGGAGCCATATCTCAGAATCCCTTGGACCAATCCCGTTCATTCTTTGCATGCATGTTCATTTTAGTACTTTATGTGGGACATATGCACATGCAATGGTTTAGCGATTCGATTCAAAATGGCCGACTGGCAGCCATCTTGTTTTTTGAAAATGTTGTATTTTGGACATGCTTTGTCAGTTTTCATTCAAACTTGGTACATAGATTATACATGTTAGGATACATGTCCATGATGATTTATTTCACAATTGGATCAAAGATGGCCGACTGGCAGCCTTCTTGTTTTTTGAAAATGTCGTATTTTGGACATGCTTTGTTAGTTTTCATTCAAATTTAGTACATAGATCATGCATGTTAGCATACATGTCCAGACCGTTAGTGAGTTCCTGAGTCTGTCCGTTCGATCGTCCGTGTTTTCGTCCGTCCGTGTGTCAGTCTGTCAAGAGTCATATCTCAGAATCCCTTGGACCGATTCCGTTTATTCTTTGCATGTGCCTAATACCTTATGTGGGACATATGCACATGCAGTGGTTTAGTGATTCGATTCAAAATGGCCGACTGGCAGCCATCTTGTTTTTTGAAAATGTTGTATTTTGGACATGCTTTGTCAGTTTTCATTCAAACTTGGTACATAGATTATACATGTTAGGATACATGTCCATGATGATTTATTTCACAATTGGATCAAAGATGGTCGACTGGCAGCCATCTTGTTTTTTGAAAATGTTGTATTTTGGACATGCTTTGTTGGTTTTCATTCAAATTTAGTACATAGATCATACATGTTAGATACATTCATTTTTTGCATGTGCCTAGTATCGTATGTGGGACATATGCACATGTAGTGGTTTCGCGATTTGATTCAAAATGGCTGACTGGCAGCCATCTTGTTTTTTGAAAATGTCGTATTTTGGACATGCTTTGTTAGTTTTCATTCAAATTTAGTACATAGATCATACATGTTAGGATACATTCATTTTTTGCATGTGCCTAGTACCTTATGTGGGACATATGCACATGCAGTGGTTTAGCGATTCGATTCAAAATGGCTGACTGGCAGCCATCTTGTATTTTGGACATTTGTCAGTTGTCATTCAAACTATGTACATAGATTATACATGTTAGGATACATGTCCATGACGATTTATTTTGCAATTGGATCAAAGATGGTCGACTGGCAGGCATCTTGTTTTTTTTATGTGCGGTATCTTGGACATGCTCTGTCAGTTTTCATTCAAATTTGGCACATACATGTCCTTATACATGTTAGGATGCATGTGCATGACAATTTGTTTCAAAATCTGGTCAAGGATGGCTGATTGACAGCCATCTGACTTTTTGGCCTTACTACTATATTTCCACAATTTATGTACCATTTTCATTCGTATTTGTCACATACATCATACATATCAGTGTGTTTCATAATCAGATCAAAGATGGTTGAAAAACGGCTGTTTTTATTTTTGGCCATATTACTACACGGAACATGTGTTTTGATGTAAATAAACAATCTGTTGTATACGCCACTTGGAACTCAAGTTTCAAGGACACGCTCGCGACAACCCCTTCGCTTTAATATGACGAGCACAAAGAAAACTTTCAAAAATTTAATGGGAACTGTGTCGTTTTCAATGACTTGTTAATTATTAACTAACAAAAATAATAAACTTTATTGAATTTGTGTCCTACTTTAGAAATTGATTATAATATGATAGAATCAATTACAAAATTTAGAATAAAAATTATTCGGCATATATTTGTACATTACAGAGAAAAGTTGAATGTCTTGTTTAATTTGTACAAATGTATTTATAATAATAATAATAATAATATAAGAGAATACAGTTACTGTAGCATACATTCATGGGAAAATAATGCATGCTATACTAAGAAGAAACAAATATTTAAAGCATATGAAATTGTTTTTCTAAGTGAAAATGCTAAATGTTCGAAAAACAATTGTGTTTACATAAGTTGTTATTGTCTACGGTTCCCAGCATATTACTGCTTGTACTATGCTAGGCAGCAGGTATAGTTCACATCGATTAAAGGCAGCCATATTAAACAATATTTAATAATTAAGAAAAATGTTTGTATACATATAACCTGCAAAATATTTATTCAAATTGTTAAAAAAAATGTCATATTATAATTTGACTAACACTTTCCAACATATTCTGGCATATTTGAATGTTACTATGGCAACTAAAAGGATGTCGCATAAGAAAATGAGCAAAAACGTATCTCTGTTGATGTGGACACAACAAAATGTTTATTTTCATTTATAGAAGTGATATATGCTGATATATATACGCTCAAAGCTGTGTAAAGTTTGGTTGCGTCAGAGGTACATTACTTGGGGTTTGTAACTACGGTGACATGATACCAAGATCCCGTCACAATCTCGCTCTCGCATAAACGTTCCAACTCAGAAAAAATGCGAATGCGCATGCCCGAGGTAACTCGGATACTGGGATGTCCAGGTAAAATAGCTGCCCACGATATGACGGATTACGAGAACTATATTTTCTGTAAAGTTTGGTTACGTATATTGTTTATGTGAAATTTGTACATCTGGTGTGCAAATTATTGACTGACAATATAACAATTATTACAATTCTACACTTGTGTATACTATTCACATAGTAGATCTTTTGAAAAATTAAATGTTTTGACTTAGTTGCTGAAAACATGTTTGTACAAAGTAGCTGATGTTGTAATATGACTGCTTGTTCTGAATCCGTAGTTCTATATGGCTGTTGTCTGGGTGATGGTACAGTGGTTAGTGTTAGCCTCATACCATGGAGGGTCTGGGTTTGATTCCTAGTGCAGTATAAATCCAATTACAGTCTGCCCTTCCTTTCCAAACATGCTGTATTAGGTTTAGGCGACTGGTTTGCAAACATGCACATGTACTTTCAATCCTTGAATCATTACATAATTGTTTACGTATAGCCACTTTGCGTAATTCTGAGAAATGACAGTTGAGTTCAGAGTGAAATATAGTACTGGAACATGCTCATTATATTATGCAAAATGAATATGTTTTCCTGATGTTTAATTTACTTTTGACATGTTTTTTGAAATGATGATATTTCCTTGAGATTACCCACCATTGATTAATATTATCCTACCACCCCCCCCCCCCTGTATTTACACATTGATTTGGCAGAATTAACTGTTTCACCACTAGACCTCTTTGCCCAAATTTGTCTGCACTTTTTTCTTGTATTCTTCAATATTTCTGACCCTAATTTTGGAGCTAAGGCAAAATTTGAGTTTTTACGCAAATCTTTTGAAGGTTTTTATGCCCAATTTTCTAAAGGAGAGTGCAGACTATAATCAGAACTATTTTGTGAATTTGTGATGAAATGAGCAAACTGGTGGTGAAAAGGTTAATTAAGCACTATGTAAGCCACTACGTCATTCACATGTCACTTTAATTAAAGTGCCTGTGCAATGCCCACCCTCACGTTGCCCATTTTAGATCTGTGTCCCACTGAAATGGGCAGTTATTGATTTTTTTGATGAAAATAATTACTCGTATCCAAGTAAATTTGGGATATTTTTCGTGTTTGTAGCCACGCCCACCTATTGCCGAAAGTGTGCCACCAAATGACAAAATGTGAGAGGAAGTCATACCCCTGAGTCGTAATA